AGGAAAGAAAGCTTGTCTCCGATGGAAGAGGAGGGGGGGGGGGCGTTCCATTCAGTGATCGAGCCCAGCGTTCTTAAGGGCCCCAACGTGCCAGAAATCAAAGTCCAAGGTGGTCAATGTAAAAAGCCAACAATGTTGGCGTCCTTCGAGGCTGGCAACCCGGAGAACCAAGTTTACCGGTCCGCTGCCAGCTCTAAGTCCCAAGATGTCTATATCGCTCCCCCACTCCCTCGACTCGGTCCCAGGGGCCAATTTCCCTCTCACCAGCTCTCCTTTTGTTTTTATCAATCTCCGCAGTCTCCACAGGTTTTTTTGTTTGTTTGTTTGTTTGTTTTCTTTCTTTCAAACCGCGATGTTAGGCGGCGTTAGGCGGCTTCCGCGGCCAGTAATGTCGGCGGCCAGCAATAGCAGCAATAACAGCGTCTCTCAGCATCCGTGTCGCTTCCCAAACTCCCCCTCTCACCAGCTTTCTTTTGCTCGTCCAATCTTCGCCGTCTCCACAAGTTCTTTTTTTCTTTCTTTCTCCACGGTTATGTGGTCGGCATGGCTCAATGCCGAAGGCGCACGGAACGCTGTTCCCTTCCCACCAAAGGTGGTCCCTATTTTTCTACTTTCACTTTTACATGCTTTCGAACTGCTAGGTTGGCAGAAGCTGGGACAAGTCACGGGAGCTCACTCCGTTACACGGGGCTAGGGATTCGAACCACCGAAATGCCGACCGTTCTGATCGACAAGATCAGCGTCTTAGCCACTGAGCCACTGTCTTCCTAATTCCCCAAATTCTCTAAATTACCGGGCTGTAAAAAGAGACAGTGGGAGATTTGGTACATTCATACTCTCAAGCGTGCAAGACTTTGTTGACGTAGCTGTACAGTAAAGCTGAATTAGGTCATCTGGCGTGTGTTTCCTGCCTGCTTTTCTTGGAAAGGCTCATGCTGGATGACTCTTATGGGACAACTCTCTCTCCCATTGGCTACTCTCTCTTATTTCACAAGATTGCTGTTTTGGGGTGGGTGGGGAGGAACGGAGGAGGGAGAGGAGGAGGGAGAGAAGTATGTAGTTGGTAGGAGTTGAAAAGGACTTGGTGACCCATAATCAGTCAATCATTCTCTCTCCTGACCTATTTCCTGGTTGTTGTTTTTTCTAACATTAGCTCTGATTCTCATAGCATCAATTTGATCCCTTATAGGAGAGGAAGAGAAGGAGGGAGGGTAGGGAGGCTAGGAGTAGGAGAAAGGGAAGGGAAGAAGGAAGGGGAAGGAGAGGAGGATGGAAGGGAGAGAAAGAGTAGGAGTAGGAGAAACGGAAGGGAAGAAGGAATGGGAAGGATGGAAGGGAAAGAAAGAGGGTAGGAAGGGGAAGAGTAGGACAAAGGGAAGGGAAGAAGGAATGGGAAGGAGAGGAGGATGGAAGGGAAAAAAAGAGGGTAGGAAGGGGAAGAGTAGGGGGAAGGGAAGAAGGAAGGGGAAGGAGAGGAAGATGGAAGGAAGTAGAGAAGAGAGGGAGGGAGAAAAGAAAGAGAAAACAAGGTGGTGTTACAAAAGGTAGAAGGGATGGTAAACAAAGCAACCCAAACTGTATATTATAACCTATTAAGTGAAATAATAAATGTATAAGAATGATAAATGTAAAGAAGAATAACCATTAAGTGAATGTATTACTTAAAATGGTATGTAAGAGAATAAAAAATAAAATTCAGAGGGAAAAAAAATCTCGTCCCTTATAAAGCAGGGGTATCAAGCTCGATTTCATTGAGAGACATATCAGGGCTGTGTTTATCCTCGGGGGGTCTGGGGATGGGTGTGGCCAGTTCAACGTCACTCATTTCAGGCTCCTGAGCTCCCTTTCTGGCTGGGACGGCCTCCTGCAACCTTCTACCAGTGAAAACAGAGCTCGGGAGGGCCTCCGTTTTCACTGGCGGAGGCACCAGGGACCATCCTTTGCTGTCTCCAGGTAGGCCCTGTGGACCAGCTCTAAGCATCCTGCGGGCCGCATCCAGCTATGGAGAGCAAAGAAGGAGAATCCATCGCATGGGAGATGAAACTTTTTTATTCCAAAATAGATAACATTTGGAAGCAACTCAGACAGACACCGCCCTAATTTGCAGAACTACATATAGGGACTTGGTGGCTCAGTGGCTAAGACGCTGAGATTGTTGATCAGAAAGGTTGGCAGTTCAGTGGTTCAAATCCCTAGCGCCACGTAATGGAGTGAGCTCCCGTTACTTGCCCCAGCTTCTGCCAACCTAGCAGTTCAAAAGCACGTAAAAAATGCAAGTAGAAAAATAGGAACCACCTTTGGTGGGAAGGTAACAGTGTTCCGTGCGCCTTCGGCGTTGAGTCATGCTGGCCACATGACCACGGAGACTTCTTTGGACAGTGCTGGCTCTTTGCCTTTAAAACGGAGATGATCACTGCCCCCTAGAGTTGGAAACCACTAGCACATATGTGTGAGGGGGAACCTTTACCGTTACATACAGGTACCTCTCGAGTTACGATCCCAATTGAGCCCAAAACGTACGTTGCTAAGTGCTTCTTTTGTTGACTGAGTTCTGCCCCATTTTGCAACTTTTCGTGCCGCAGTTGTTAAGCGTATCACTGCATTTGTTGAATTAGTAACTCGGTTGTTAAGTGAACCTGGCTTCCTCATTGACTTCGCTTATCGGAAAGGTTGCAAAAGCGGATCGCGTGACCTTGGGATACAGCAATGGTCACAGATATGAACCAGTTGCCAGGCGTCTGAATTTTGATCGTGTGTCCACGGGCTTGCTGCAACAGTCATTGTGTGAAAAAATGGCCCTAAGTCAGTTTTTTTCCAGTGCCGTTATAACTTTGAATAGTCACTAAATGAACTGTTGTAAGTTGAGGACTACCTGTATAAGGAGACGAGAAAGATACCACAGAATCAGATTTGCAAGACTCTTATTACTGTAGCTAAGGGATGCGGTGGCTCAGTAGCTAAAACGCTGAGCTTGTCAATCAGAAAGGTTGGCGGTTTGAATCCCTAGCACCGCATAACGGAGTGAGCTCCCATGACTTGTCCCAGTTTCTGCCAACCTAGCAGTTTGAAAGTATGTAAAAATGCAAGTGGAAAAATAGGGACCCCCTTTGGTGGGAAGGAAACAGCGTTCCATGCGCTTTCGGTGTTGAGTCATGCTGGCCACATGACCACGGAGATGTCTTTGGCTTTGAAACGGAGATGAGCACTGCCCCCTAGAGTCGGGAGCGACTATCATAGATATGCGCGGGGAACCTTTACCTTATTACTGTTACACCAGGGGTCTCCAACCTTGGCAGCTTTAAGACTTGTGGACTGGGAGTCGAAGTCCACAAGTCTTAAAAATTGCCAAGGTTGGAGACCCCTGATGTAGACAGCCACACAATAAAAGCAGTTTTTAATCTTTCCGGTCTACCCTCTTGGGGCTGACAACAGCGTCACCTAGGCAGGATCTCCATGCAAAACCGAATCCCTAGAAATCGGATTCTCCAATTTTGTTTTGTTTTTTCCCCCAGAACTTCCGGCCAGCTGGAGGGTCCATCCTGCATAACCCCGGGGCTATGTTGTAAGTACCACTGCACCTTCTGGAGGGGCTTCCCTTGGGGTCAGAAAGCAGATGTTTTCTCTCTGTGTCGCACCACTGGAAGCAAAAGCCTCTTTCTCTCCTTCCGCAGTGAGTACAGTAACCAAAGATACGAAGTCAGCCACGTACACAAGGTGGAGTGTGTGGTGCCCTGGCTGAACGATGCCCTGGTTTTCTTCACCGTGTCCCTGCAGCTTTGCCAGCAACTCAAGGATAAGGTGAGGCAAACAGGGAGATGTCGTTTTTTTAATACAATACAATAGCAGGGTTGGAAGGGACCTTGGAGGTCTTCTAGTCCAACCCCCTGCCTAGGCAGGAAACCCTGTACCATTCCAGACAAATGGCTATCCAACATCTTCTTAAAGACTTCCAGTGTTGGGGCATTCACAACTTCTGGAGGCAACTTCTGTTCCACTGATTAATTGTTCTAACTGTCAGGAAGCTTCTCCTGAGTTCTAAGTTGCTTCTCTCCTTGATTAGTTTCCACCCATTGCTTCTTGTCCTACCCTCAGGTGCCTTGGAGAATAGCTTGATTGCCACTTCTTTGTGGCAGCCCCTGAGATATTGGAACACTGCTATCATGTCTCTCCTAGTCCTTCTTTTCATCAAACTAGACATACCCAGCTCCCGCAAGTGGAAAAATAGGGACCACCTTTGGTGGGAAGGGAACAGCGTTCCATGCACCTTTGGCGTTTAGTCATACCGGCCACATGACCACGGAGACGTCTTCAGACAGTGCTGGCTCTTCGGCTTTGAAACAGAGATGAGCACCTCCCCCTAGAGTTGGGAATGACTAGCACAGTGTTTCTCAACCTTGGCAACTTGAAGTCCTGTGGACTTCAACTCCCAGAATTCCCCAGCCAGCTATGCTGGCTGGGGGATTCTGGGAGTTGAAGTCCACAGGACTTCAAGTTGTCAAGGTTGAGAAACACTGGACTAGCACATACAATATGTGGGAGGTGAATCTTTACCTTTATCTTATTCACAGAAACTTGTAAGTCTGAAAGTGCAATCCTCCACCGCGCCCCGAAATCTCTTTTACAATCCAGAAACTAGGGAGGGTCTCTTCTGAACCTATTGTTCTGCTGGGATCGTGTGATCAACACTCAACCTGTATGCACACGCATGCACGCCCACACCCATCCACACACACACACACAGCTTTGGTAGCCCCAGGCAGCCATAATTATGACTTGAATTGACAAAACCCCACAGACACCCTTGTGTAAATCAATGCCGTATAATTATTATAAATTACCATATTTTTCGGAGTATAAGACGCACCTTTTCCCCTCAGAATAGAGGCTGAAAATCTGGGTGCGTCTTATACACTGAATACAGCATTTTTTGCCCTCCCGAAACCCCGCCCCTTCACCCAAATGGCCGTGCATAGCCTTTAGGAGGCTTTCAGAGTGCTCCTGGGGGCTGGAGAGAGCAGAAATGAGTGAAAAACAGGTCGTTTTTTGCCTCCCCAGCCCCCAGGAGCACTCTACAAGCCTCCTAAAGGCTACGCATGCCCTTTTTTTTTACACAAAACAGACCATTTTTGCTAAAAATGGGCCGTTTTTGGGAGGTCTGCAGAGTGCAAAAACTTTTTTTTTTTTAAATTGCCTCTTCAAAGTCTTGGTGTCTCTTATACTCCAGAAAATAGGGTTTTATGATTATACACTATATTGCCAAAAGGATTCGCTCACAACTGAGTCTGATTATGTGGATGGGTGAGCGAATCCTTTTGGCAATATAGTGTCATTGCAAAGCAAGGGGCCATTGTCTTGTCCTACCATCCAAACTCTTCAGTTATCGGTCCTGTCCATGATGTTTTGATTGGATTAAAATGCGCAGACATCGACAAAAATCTGTGCTGGGGATGGAGAAGGAGATGCCGCGTCTTTTGGCAATATAGCCTGCATTTCTAACGTTTCCTTGCCTAGTCCAATGCTACCAAGTAGAGCAGCGGTCTTCAAACATGGCAGCTTTAAGACGTGTGGACTTCAACTCCCAGGATTCCCCAGCCAGCTTGGCTGGCTGGGGAATTCTGGGAGTTGAGGTCCACACGTCTTAAAGCTGCTAAGTTTGTAGACTCCCAATGTAGAGGAACAATTGACCCATTCAGAAAAACCAGCATTCCTTGCCTAAAAACAAGGCAGTACTTCCTTTTCGGGGGGGGGGGGGTACCAGTCGAGGATATGCTTCCCGTTACAGATTTGACTCTGCTGAACAACAGGGAATTAACTCCCTATCGCCCCCCAGCTTTTGATCTATTTGTGTTCTTCTTTCCCCCCCAGATTGCTGTGTTTTCTGGCTACTGGAACTATTGGCCCTACTGATCATCTTCTCGCAGAGAGTGGTCCGGTCAGTTTCAGTCACTCTTCTTCTCGCGAAGGTCTCATGATATAAACTCTTTTATCTGCGAAGAGCATCCAGATTCTGCACTCCATGGGCAAGGAGGCCATCGTCATCTTTGTATTCAGAATGTCATTATTTATTAGCACTTTAGAAAGTAACGTTCATTTCTTTCCATGAGCATCAAAGTTAGGCGGAGTCAGTAAACCCTGGTCAAACCACGCCCCGTTGGAGGGGGCAGGGCGGGGGAGTGGAAAGTGGCTACGAACAGGAGTGGGGACGAAGCGCAGCCTTTGCTGACCCTGTTTTGGGCTCGTCTCAGAAAGACCAACTGTGGGGTGGGTCACACCGTGTTCCTTTCTTGGCGAATCCTTGTCACGTTTTGGATTTTGTTCTCCCTCCTGCCCGCCCCTTCCTGAGTCTTTTGCACCGTAGTGACGGTTCACTTCCATAACGCGTGAAAAGCGTTAAAGGGACAGCTGGGTTTTGGTGATGGGTCACCCCCTATTTCCGCGATGGCGAACAAGTCACCCCAGCTCAGCTCCACTCCGCATGCAAGGGTGCCCTCCCTGGTTTTCAGGTTGCTGCGCATGCAGGGGGCGGGGGCAAATGCGTGGGGAGTTGTGCATGGCGGTGGGAAGCTGGGGAAGTGCAGAGGGTTGCGTGTGCATGCGCAGGGGGTGGGGCGCACATGGGGGTCAGATGGTTTTCAGGCTTGCGCATGCAGGGGGTGGGGCAAATGCGTGGGAAGTTGTGCGTGGGGGGAGCTGGGGAAGTGCGGAGGGTTGCGTGTGCATGCGCAGGGGGTGGGACACACATGGAGTTAGCTGGTTTTCAGGCAGGGGGCGGGGGTGAATGCGTGTGGAGTTGTACGTGGGGGGAGCTGGGGAAGTGCGGAGGGGTGCATGTGCATGCACAGGGGGTGGGGCGCACATGGGGGTCAGCTGGTTTTCAGGTCTGCGCATGCAGGGGGCGGTGGTGGATGCGTGGGGAGTTGTGCATGGAGGGGGAGCTAGGGAAGTACGGAGGGTTGAGCGTGCATGCACAGGGGGCGGGGTGTACATGGAGGTCACATGCACAGCGAGGCATGGGGGAGGTCACACCTGAATTGCATTATGGGTATGTGCGCATGCACTTTCGGCACCCAGCAACAAAAAAGGTTAGCCCTCACTGCCCTATTTTGTAGAACCAGATAAGACAAGGGATGGTCCAACCTTTTTGTTGTCATGTGCCAAAAACGCGCCCATAATGCAATGCGTACATGACCCACACCCCATGACCCTGTGCATTCTCCCCTCCCCCTAGTCATGCGTGCATCTCCCCCGTGCATGCACCCCACCCCTCCTGGCCCATTTTTGACTCCCAGGTTGGTGCAGGAGGCTTTCCAAGCCCAAGACAGAAGGCCGCCTGCACCAACCTGGAAGCCAAAAATGGGGCGCGGGGGTTCCATGCGAGGCCCCAAAATGCAATTTAAGTGCCCCCCGAAGACCAGCTGGCTGGTGAGAAGCAGAGGCGCACGTGCGGTGGAGCTGGGCTGGAGCGAGGGCTGGCATGCCTGCAGAGAGGAGTCTGCGTGCCATGGGTTTGCCCTCATGGCGATAGATGCTGCTGCTTCATCAGGTCTTCCAGAGAATCTTCGCTGGCCACCGAACAGTAGAAAAAGTCCTGGGTAACAAAGTCAGTTGCTGCTACACATCACATGAATCCTAGTCTGTGCTGCTTATATTGTGTGTGGAATAAACCTCCCTCATTGTGGTTCGTGGCTTGGTGTGTTTGGAGGAGAACCTTTGACATGGGATTTTGGGAATATGGGGGAGGTTGTGGGACCTGCACGAGAGATGGACAAATGGAATGAATTTCTCTTTGCTCCAGAATGGCTAAATGTGGCCAAAATGACCCAGGAGTCCACTTTCTAGACAAGGACGGATCCAGGTTCTTGATCCACGCCAGTTGCTGTTTTTTAATCTTGTGCAAAAAAAACAAAACCAGATTTTCCCCGCCCTCTGTTGGGTCTATTAAATTTTGGTGGAAGGGGAACATCAAAGCAACCATTTTTTAAACTTCAGTCACTTATACAGCCGTCTAAATTTATTCGACAACCATTGGAAAGTGCCTCTCTACACAATAAGAGGTTCACAATAATCAGAGATTACATTTTACATTGAAAATCAGGACACCGATCTTGGGAAAGTAACAAATCTGGGATATTAGAACAAGAAGTTATAAATCCGCGGGGTCCAATCTTGGCAACCTTTGAAGACTTTCCGACTTCCAACTCTCAGAATTCGGAGAGTTGAAATCCACAAGTCTTAAAAGTTGCCAAACCTGGACACACACCCGCCCCCCCCTTGGTACAAAGCATCTGGAACTGACAAAAGATATTTTCAGTACCCTGTTTCCCCCAAAATATGGCCTCCCCGGATAATCACCCTAGTCGGGCTTTTGAGTGCATGTGCTAAAATAAGCCCCTCCTGAAAATAAGCCCTCCCCAAAAATATTGCAACACAGCAGCAGCCATGAGGTGACCCCATTCACCACCACCTGCACTTCAAAAATAATAACTTTCCCCGAAAATAAGGCCAAGCGCTTAATTTGGGGGTCAAAAGAAAATAAGACCCTGTCTTATTTTGGGGAAAACACTGTATTACAAAGAGGATAATTTTTACCAAGCTGGTAAAAAGTCTGGGCAATTTCTGTAGAGAAATCCAATTTAGGACAATAAAAACAGCCCATTTCTATAGCATTGATTGAGTTGTTGGTCTTTTCTCTTTTCTGCTATCAGCACTGGGTGGGAATAAGATGATAAAAAATACACTACATTTTTAAAGCACAAGTTAACAAAACCCAACTGGTAAGACCGCAAGTTAAGAGCTTGCAAGCCTTTGCAAAAGAGGATTATCATTGTTCATGGACTACATATTTAGTTGGCTCTTTCCTTGTTGCTATTGATTAGAAGCAGCCAATAGTTGCCAACATTGAGAATGGTTGAATTGTTTGCCCCGGCTTACAGCAGACAGAATCATGGACTAAGAATCATCGGATCTAAGCTCTTGAGGGTTCATCTGTCTCGCAGTTCCTCCCAGAAGAAATTGGATTTTTTACAATAAATTCCAGCACAGCAGAAGAAAATCAGTAAAGCTTAGGCAATTGGTCATATGGAGCCTTAAGGCTCCATGCCCATATTATCAATACCAACTTTTCCTTTCTTGACCTGTAATGGAAAAGTGTCACGGTTAGAATATCAGAAAATGGAGCATTCTATGAGAAAAGGTAAATTTTTCCAATTGGAATCATATTTATTCACTCCTAGGCTAAACCACAATTCAATTCCAGAGTTGGTAACCAGCCAAATTCTGTTAGCACAGGAAAAGCCAATTTAAGTTTGTCCCACTAACAGTTAAGATTTTATTCCCCAGGGTCCTCTAATGGTCACTGTTGGGTCGGTGTTGAAGCTGTGCTGCACCCTAGTCTCCTCTCTGAATTTTTTACCCCTTTGTATGGAGAAAAAAGAGGATTACATGTTTTATCTAAATTTGTATGCTACCCATCTCGCCATCCAAAGCAATTTATGATGCACTTTAAGGGGATGAAGTTATGGCAAAGTTTTTACAAGTGAGAGTCACAAACTCAAGAAATTGGATGCTTTCTAAAAGCTGGGTTTTCATTGGACCCTGGCATTGGAAAGGATAATTTAGGTCTCTGCATTTTGATCTCGGCTCAGTATAACGGTGTTAATTCAAGCATCTCTGATGGGCCAATGGACCAATTTCTGCTTGAACACGTACAGTGAAGGAGGACTTCCTGTTTCTCTGTCTCTCTGTCTCTCTCTCTGTTTCTCTCTGTGTTTCTCTCTTCCTCTCATTTTTTTATTTTTCTCTTTCTCTTCCTCATTCTTTTTTATTTTTCTCTTTCACTTTCTTTCTCTCTCTGTCTCTGTCTCTCTGTCAATGTCTGTCTGTCTCTCCCTCTCTCTCTCTCACACACACACAGACACAGAGCAGCCATCCTGCTAAACTGGCGGCCTGAATCTCTTCCCATCACTAAATGTGCAACTCTAGGCCATGACCTTGTTGAAACTGTTTACCTTCTTGTAAGAACTAGGAGTATCACAATCACAGCAGCAACATCGGATCAACGCAAGGAGGCCCAGCAAGAGAACCATCCCTGGTATGGGGATAAAAAAAAATGGGTCAGTCCCTAAATTTATGACCAATCCAAAACCAGATTGGCTTTTCTTTACCCCGGCTTCCATTGCACAGAACATAGAATAACAGGGTTCAAACGGAGCTTGGATGTCTTCTAATCCAAGCCTCTGCTCCATCAGAGGTTACCCTATCCTTGTAATGGCAAACCTATTGCCTGCGTGCCAGAAGTGGCACACAGAGCCATCTTTCTGGGCACACGAGCCGTCACCCATTGCTCTTCCGGGTTCCAGGTGGTCTTCATGCATGGGAGTGCATGCGCAGAGGCCACCTGCTCTTCCAGTTTGTGGCATGCATGCACACACAAAGACCAACTGGTTGGTGCACATGCGTGTGCCAGAAACCGGAAGGTCATGTTCCCGGCATGCGCCCCAGGCAACTGCTCTTCTGGTTTCCGGCACACACACACTCCCGTTTCGGCACTTGGTGTTGAAAAGGTTCACCAACACTGCCCTATCCCATTCCAGTCTCTTCCTGAAAGCCTCCAGTAATGAAGCTCCCACAACTTCTGAATGCAACTTCTGTTCCATCGGTTGATTGTTCTCACTGTCAGAAAATGACAGGTTATTTCCAGGTTGAATCTCTCCTTGGTCAGTTTCCATCCATTATTCCTTGTCTGGCCTTTGGGTGCTTTGGAAAATAGCTTGACCCCGTCCTCTCTGTGGCAGCCCCTCAAATATTGGAACACTGCTATCCTGTCTCCCCTGGTCCTTCTCTTCACTAGACCAGTTTCTGCAACTATCCATCATTATGTTTTAACCTCCAGTCCCCTAATCATCTTAGTTGCTCTTCTCTGCACTCTTTCTAGAGTCTCAAGTTGACCCCCCCTCTCTTTTCTGTGGCGACCTCTCAGATATTGGAAGACTGCTATCATGTCACCTCTAGCCCTTATCTTCATTACACCAGACACACCTAGACAAAGAAGCTATAGATATTGAGATAGTGCTGAAGGATAGCAATAGGACTTAGCCTTATAAACCGCTTCACAGTGCTTTACAGTCCTCTCTAAGAGGTTTACAGAGTCAGCCTATTTGCTCCCAACAATCTGGGTCCTCATTTGACCCACCTCGGAAGGATGGAAGTCTGAGTCAACCTTGAGCCAGTCAGGATCGAACTGCTGGCGGTTGGAAGAGTTAGCCTGCAATACTGCATTCGAAGGAAGGAAGGAAGGAAGGAAGGAAGGAAGGAAGGAAGGAAGGAAGGAAGGAAGGGAAGGGCAATAGCAATAGCACTTAGACTTATAAATCACTTTACAGTACTTTACAGTCCTCGCTAAGCAGTTTACAGAATCAGCCTCTTGCTCCCAACAATCTGGGTCCTCATTTTACAGACCTTGGAAGGATGGAAGGCTGAGTCAACCTTGAGCCTNTCAGGATTGAACTGCTGGCAGTTGGAAGAGTTAGCCTGCAATACTGCATTTGAAGAAAGGCAGGCAGGCAGGCAGGCAGGAATGAGGGAAGGAAGGAAGGAAGGGCAATAGCAATAGCAATAGT